TTTCCATACATACGGTGAGGAGGCTTTCACCATTCTTATTTATACTTTCATCACCAAACGTTCCCAATATCCTTTCATAACCAAGCCTCCTCACCCCAACCCTTCCATTAAAATCTTCTAGCATAATAATATTTTCATTTACCTTACATTTCATTAACACTATCCTTACCATTTCCCAAAACTGCTCTCGGATATAAGTGGGCTTAGATATGTCTGGGGCGTAGATCCCTAGTACAAACAACTTCTTTAAGCCCACTTTCATTCGTATCCATAGCAGTCTTGGGCTTACACATTCATACTCTTTCACACATAGGTCTATTCGTTCTGAAAGGATGATACCTACTCCCTGGCATGCCTGCTCAATCTCGTCTACACCAGACCAGTATGTGGTGTACATGCCATGTGTAGTGATATCCTTCCCCTTCCGTTTCGTCTCATTTACACATAACACATCTATTCCTCTATTATACATCATATTGCATCTAAAGTTAAATTAGTTGGCAAACGGCAAAGCTTCCCAAAAACAAGCTCATATGGAGTATACTTGGTTTCCGTGTTATTATAACCAAAACACCAATACAGTAACCAAGTGCTCCAGTTATGTGGTTCATTACCTGTTTGAATTCTGAGAAATGACGTCAGATTTTTGTGGCTGTTTTCTAAGGAACCTATAGATTGGTGATAATATGCTGTTGACGTTACCTGTTGAATTTTGAGAATACGGCACTCATCTTTCATGACGGTTGAAACAAATTCTGTCCCTTGGTCAGATATTATTTGTCGAGGAATACCATATCTCAAAATAAAATTATTGATAAAAGCCGATGCCACTGAAATATAAACCTTATGTTTAAGCGGATAGGCTTCAACATACTTAAATCACACTGTAGTGTGAGTATATAAACATTACTATCGTTATCTTTTCGTAAGGGCCCTACTAAATCTAAATAAACTCTATCAAAAGCAGAATATCCCGTATCGGTTATAACCATTGGTTCTTTTATATGCTTATTTAAGTGCTTATATAGCAAACACTTGTCACATTGATTTTCATAATTAGTCAAATCCTTCGCTAACCCGGGCCAAAAGAATCTTTTCTTTATATTGTTTATCATTCGCCTTATACCGGCGTGACCGCTAGTTGGCAATAAATGGTAGTCGTTTAATATTATACGTTTTGTCTCACGATCGTCGACTTTATGGACACCATTTAAAATTAATATTCACGGTCCAGACCTATTTGGTGTCTCATTTATAATACGAGTTAACTTCTTAATTAATATATTGTTATTATTATTTTGTATAATATACAGACGATCTATCCTACGCTTATTACAAAAGCAATCCAACTCCCTCACAAAGGCATCTCGTGCACAATATGGTCGGAAAGAAGGATTTACATAAATTGTTGACTTTGCTGAGACAAAATAAAATAACTTAGACTTAGAATAGAACTTTTCTTTCACTCTGTCTATCTTTTTCCATTGTTTTTCGTCTACAAACAATAATTCAGTGCAATCCTTGTGTTCCCACGACTTTTGGGTGATCAGTCCAATCGTTGGGGGTAACCTTATCCCCCGTAGGGTTGTCACGCTTATCTTGCGCAATTTTTTTATTAATTCGCTTTCTTTGCGCTCTTGTTAGAACAGATATGACCTTTTCATTCATTTCTTTCAAATCTTCACTCGAGATTTGGATGCGTAACAAAGCATCTTCAGCTGCATTGTCAGCTCCCCTTACATACTTGATAACAAACTTATACTCCTCAAGCAATAATCTAAACTTCGTAAGTCTACTTGACGGATTTGTCTGTTGAATAAATGTACAAGAGGCTTATAATCCGTTTCAATAATGAATTCGCGTCCATATAAATAAGGTCGAAAGTATTTTACTACCCATACTATCGATAATAATTCCTTTTCGATAGTAGGATAGTTTTTCTCGGCTTTGTTTAATGTGCGGCTAGCATATGCAACCGGTCATCCGTCATGATTACATAAAACGGAGCCTATAGCAAAACCAGACGCATCAGTTTTTAAAATAAAATTTTGGTCAAAGTTTGGATATTGACGCATGGGAGGCATTTTTAAGCGTTGAAAAATATAGTTTACAGTTTTTATTCCAATGAAATTTAACATTTTTGCGACATAAATTGTTTAGAGGTAAAACGATTTCAGAAAAATTTGGTATAAATCTTCGATAGTAATTCGCAAACGCTACTAGTCTTTTTACATCGTTGGTATTTTGAGGAATTGGGTAATTTTGTAATACTGATATCTTTTTTGGCCAGGCTTAATACCTTCGGAAGAAACAACGTGGCCAAGATAAAGAAGTTCTTTATTTAGAAAAACACATTCTTTCGGGTTTAACTTTAAGTTTACTTTTCTTAATCGCGATAAAATTTCTATTAAATGTTTATTATGGTTATCTAAGTTTCTGCCAAAACAAATGAGTTCGTCTAAATAAGTGAGCACTTTTTCGTAATTTTTTTTTCATAGGATAGGGTGACAAGCGAGCACACAGTTCACCTGATGGTAAGTGGTTGCTGCGGCCCATAGACATCTACATCTTCGATTACAAATCAAAATGCAGATACGTTCTCACCCTTGGGGATTAAGATGGAATGCCTCGTTCCCAGTAAAAAGGGTCTCCGGTTCTCTACACTCACCATACGAAATACAGTAGCATTAAGCTACTATTTCACGCTGGTATTCTGTGAGAGCATGGTCCTTCCCCGGTCGAGCCCTCATTTTTGCTACAACTATACTACTAATATAACTGCAGCATGGCTCTACCACGTAAAAGAATTTAAACCAGCCATGGATATTCTAATAGCACGAGAAAAGGAATTTGGACTTGTCTTTAAGCCCATTGGCATTCTGGTCATCTGATATTGAACAGAATGGATTAAGGCTTAATTGGTAAAATGATTGATTGAGATTAAGGTGGGTAAAATACATTGCTCCTGATAAAGAATTTAATATGTCTGTAACGGAAATTTGTCATCTACAATACAGTTGTTTAACTTTCGAAAATCGATAACCAATTTAACTAACAAATTATTTCAGAGCGAGCTCCTGGTGTAGAATTCTGGCTACTAGGTTGTGCCTGTGCAAGTACTCAGAGTTAGAAAGCGCCGAACAACCGGAGATGACATGCCTAAGTGACTCACCGGGATGGCGACAAGCTCGACAGACGTCGACGGTGCCATCCTTTAGGATGTATCTCCGATAGTTGTTGCTCTTAATAACCTGATCCTGTATTGCACAGACAAAACCCTCGGTTTCCCCCGAAGAGATCACCAAAGCGTAGCCAGTGGAGGGAGGCTACTGTGTCTACGAAAGGCTCATGTAGAGCCTTGTAGAACCTCCCGTGGAGCTCCTTCTCCTTCCATACGGTCTCCCGGTCGGAAACGCTCTGCACTGCCGGGTCTTGCCATTGCTCGTTGGCTAAGGATAGAGGGGTAAGTCGTTTATCACAAGAAATGACGTCCTTATAGAATGGATCATCCGATCTCGCCAGGAAGTAATCACGGAGGCTGCACACTTCGCGATTATGCATGGTGAGCGCGCTCAAGAAGCCACGACCACCATGCTTCCGCGGCAAGTACAGCCTCATTACCGACGATCTCGGATGATGCATCCTATGGGACGTCATGGTAGTGCGGACTTTTCTATCCAGGGCGTTAAGTTCAGTCTGGGTCCACCTGAGTATGCCAAAGGTATACAGTAGGACAGGCATGACCCAACCGTTATATGCGTGTGTCTTATTCACACCGGACAAAAGGCTGTTAAGCACTTTGGTCAAGCGTGCATAAAACACGTCGCAAACTGACTGTTTCATACCAGCCTCATCGATACCGATGTTCTGTGACATACCCAGGTATCGGTATGTTTCAGCCTCGGAAAGGGTCCTTATGTTGACGGGCATAGACAAGTCTATGCCCTCAGAGTTAGCAACCCTTCCCCTTTCAACATGGAGGACCGCACACTTATCCGTCCCCAGCTCCATTCCAATGGAACTGCTAAATTCACAAGTGATGTTTAGCAGTTCCATAAGATGGGAGCGACTGGAGGCGAATAACTTGAGGTCATCCATATAGAAAAGGTGGGTCACTTTTGTCCCTCCTTTCCGTAGCTGAAATCCCCTCCCGGAGCCCTCCAGTAAGGTACTGAGAGGGTTCAGAGAGAGGCAAAACCAGATTGGACTCAGACAATCGCCCTGGAAGATACCCCTTCTTATCCTTATGTGGTTCTCCGCAGCCATCATCCGCTCGCCCAGATGACAAAGGATCGTACTCCACTGCCCCATACACTGCTCGAGGAAGTCTCTAACTGTACAGTCTATCTTGTACAGCTCGAGGACTCTCTTTAGCCATGTATGGGGCACCGAGTCGAATGCCTTTAGGTAGTCTATCCAGGCGGCGGAGAAGTTCCGACGGTTGCGTTTCACCACTTTGCCAATGACCGCGTCAATGAGGAGTAGTTCCTTAGTTCCACGATCACCGCCCCGACATCCATTTTGAGCGCGCGACATCACCTGATTTGAGTGATTCAGAAAAGTGGTCCTCGCGCTCAAAATGGATGTTAGTGTCTTGTATATGGTCGGTAGACACGTGATGGGGCGGTATTTGCTCGGGTCTGTGTTACCCTGGTCTTTAGGAACCAAATGAGTGATCCCAGTAGTGAAGAGGCTTGGGAGCGACTTCTGGTTGAGAGCCTCTTGAAACTGTCGGGCGAGCACAGAGTGACACACCATGAACCCCTTCAGCCAGTAGTGATGCAGCCCGTCAAGCCCCGGACTTTTCCAGTTCGGGGCCCTACGGACCGCCTCAGCTACGTCATCCGGCGTTATGATGACGGGGTCCATCGGCGTAATACCCGTACACTGACTCGCCACAACTTCCGTCCAAGGGCCCTCGCTGTGGTTTACGGGCTCTGACCACAGGCCGCGCCAGAATGCTACAGTGTCGGCCTGATTCGGTGCTGGACCCGTTCCACTTACCATTGGTCGCTCCAATGATTCATAGAGCCTCTTCTGATCACTCTGGATGACAAACAATTCTGGTTGAACCGTGTCGACCTCTCAGTATATTGCCGAATCCGCTTTCCCCAAGCAGCGATTCTCTGCTTAAGATCATCTATGCGCTCCGTCAGTTTTTGCGTTATATCCGGCTGGGACAAACTGACATTTGTCCCAGCAAACGCCATCCTGATGGTGCGCACTATTCTTGGCCTGTTATTGCCTGATCTGAAGCATATCAGTCTGCCGATGAGAGCTCTAGCCTTTGCGATACGTTCCTCAATTCTTCTTCTCCATGCTGGGATAGCGCTACTATGGCCAGTAGCGCGTCCAGCCGTGGAAACCTTGGCGCCTATGATACGGCAGACTGCCAGCGCGGCGCCAAAAAGAATTGAGTCCGTCTCGCAAAGGTCCCGGCTGGCTTCCAAATAGGTCACCAGCATTGGGTTCAGAGCCCTCACGACAGCCCGATTCCGCTTGCTTAGGGCTATGCGGGGAAGTCGCGGTCGATTTTCGAGAGGCGTACTGCGCGTTTCCACAATCGTCTCTTCCAATGTACTCCTCATATGCTCTAATTCCAGTTCCTGGGCGACTGTTCCATCATCGTTTGAATCAACCACAACTGGGGTATTCACGGCGGCATCCACGTTTGCGGGTTGCTCTACCATTTGTGGCGCCGCATCCTCAGCCGTAGCATTCTCATCCGACGAGGGAACAGCCTCACGTCGTAGCCGTTCGAGTTCGGCGACATCAAATATATTTGAGCGCAAGATATACCGAACTCGGTCTGCCAGGTTTTGCTCTGTGACGGTTAAGATGGCTCCAGCTCAGCAAAAAGACGATGCATCCTAGCCCGATACGCCAAACATCCAGTTTCTTCCCCTTTTGCCCTAAAGTATTATATTTTGCCCTAAAGTATTATTATTAATAGGCGTAGGGAAGTGACGACCCCATCGCCCGCTGACGAAACAGTTAAGTGACAAAACTGCTACGTCGGTGCAGTCAGTCAGCGCCTTGCCAAGAGGTGTGAGCGCCGTGCCTCGGCAGTACTCAGGGTGTAAAGGCCCGTTTGTACTTACGGCCGCACAATGATACAATGAAACGGTGCCGGGCCTGGGCGTCTCCCGTTAATTGGCGCCCAAAAATGGATGATGGATATGATTGGAAAACGTATAGGGCCGCTGCCTGGGGGTCGCCGGGGCGCGTCTGGAGCTGGCGCTGGACGCGGCAGCATGCGGGCCGCCAGCCGAGCGCGAGGAGCTGCAAGAACACCTAACAGCCCCCCGCATCCATCATCCCCACCAGACGGCTTGATGTCGGCAGGGTCCTCTCGGACTCGGCAAGCGGCATCCGCCGCTGGTGGAGTGCGCCGCATGCGTTGGACAAGGGATATGAACGCAAACGCATTGCGGGCGTACTATAGGGCGAAAGGGGAAGAAACTGCAGGGATAGCGTATCGGGCTCGGATGCGTTGCTTTTTTGCTGAGCTGGAGCCGTCTATTCCCGTCACGGAACAAAACCTGGCAGACCGAGTCCGGTACATCATGCGCTCGAAAATATTCAATGATGCCGAGCTCGAACGACTACGACGTGAGGCCATTCCCTCATCGAATGAATTGGCTACGGCTGGGGATGCGGCTCCTCAGGCGACAGACCAGCTGCCACGCGTAGAAGCCGCCATGGATCTTCCAGTTGTGGTTGATTCAGATGATGATGAAATGGTCTCCCACGAACTAGAGCAAATGAGGAGTATATTGGAAGAGGCGCAGCATGCCTCTCGAAAATCGACCGCGACTTCCCCGCATACCTGTAAGCAAGCGAAATCGGGCTGTCGTGAGGGCTCTTAACCCAATGCTGGTAACCTATTTGGAAGCCAGTCGGGACCTTTGCGAGACGGACTCAGTTCTTTTTGGCGCCACAGTGGCAGCTTGCCGTATTATTGGCGCCAAACTTCCAATGGCTGGACGCGCTACTAAACAAAGTAGCGTCATCCCAGCCTGGAGAAAAAGAATTGAGGACCGTATCGCAAAGGCAAGGGCCTTTATCGGCAGACTGATAAGCTTCAGGTCGGGTAATAATAGACCGAGGGTTGTGCGCACCGTTAGAATGGCGTTTGCTGGGACAAATATCAGTTTGTCCCAGCCGGATATCACGCAGAAACTAACGGAGCGCATAGACGACCTGAAGCAAAAGATTGCTGCTTGGGGGAAGCGGATTCGCCGATTTACTGAGAGGTCAAGGCGGTTCAACCAGAATCGTCTCTTCCAGAGTGATCAGAAGAGGCTCTACAAATCATTGGAGCGACCAGAGGTATGTGGAGCGGGCCCAGGACCGGACCAGGCTAACACTGTCGCATTTTGGCGTGGCCTGTGGTCAGAGCCCGTAAACCACAGCGAGGGCCCTTGGACGGAAGTTGTGGCGAGTCAGTGTGCGAGGATTACGCCCATGGACCCCGTCATCATAACGCCGCATGACGTAGCTGAGGCGGTCCGTAGAGCCCCGAACTGGAAAAGTCCGGGACTCGACGGACTGCATCACTACTGGCTGAAGGGGTTCATGGTGTGTCACGCTGTGCTCGCCCGTCAGTTTCAAGAGGCTCTCAACCAGAAGTCGCTCCCTAGCCTCTTCACTACTGGGATCACTCATTTGGTTCCTAAAGACCAGGTTACCACAGACCCGAGCAAATACCGCCCCATTACGTGTCTACCCACCATATATAAGACACTGACATCCATTTTGAGCGCGAGAATCACTCGTCACCTGGAGCTAAATAAGATGATGTCACGCGCTCAAAATGGATGTCGGGGCGGTGGTCGTGGAACTAAGGAACCACTCCTCATTGACGCGGTCATTGGCAAAGTGGTGAAACGCAACCGTCGGAACTTCTCCGCCGCCTGGATAGACCACAGAAAGGCATTCGACTCGGTGCCCCATACATGGCTAAAGAGAGTCTTCGAGCTGTACAAGATAGACTGTACAGTGAGAGACTTCCTTGAGCAGTGTATGGGGCAATGGAGTACGATCCTTTGTCATCTGGGTGAGCGGATGATGGCTGCGGAGAACCACATAAGGATAAGAAGGGGTATCTTCCAGGGCGATTGTCTGATTCCAATCTGGTTCTGTCTCTCCCTGAACCCTCTCAGTACCTTACTGGAGGGATCCGGGAGGGGATTTCAGCTTCGAAAAGGAGGGACAAAAGTGACCCACCTTTTCTATATGGATGACCTTAAGTTATTCGCCTCCAGTCGCTCCCATCTTATGGAATTGCTAAACATCACTTGTGAATTTAGCAATTCTATTAGAATGGAGCTGGGGACGGATAAGTGTGCGGTCCTCCATGTTGAGAGGGGAAGGGTTGCTAACTCTGAGGGCATAGATTTATCTATGCCCGTCAACTTAAGGACCCTTTCCGAGGCTGAAACATACCGATACCTGGGTATGTCACAGAACATCGGTATCGATGAGGCTGGTATGAAACAGTCAGTTTGCGACGTGTTTTATGCACGCTTGACCAAAGTGCTTAATAGCCTTTTGTCCGGTGTGAATAAGACACACGCATATAACGGTTGGGTCATACCTGTCCTTATGTATACCTTTGGCATACTCAGGTGGACTCAGACTGAACTTAACGCCCTGGATAGAAAAGTCCGCACTACTATGACGTCCCATAGGATGCATCATCCGAGATCGTCGGTAATGAGGCTGTACTTGCCGCGAAAGCATGGTGGGCGTGGCTTTTTGAGCGCGCTCACTATGCATAATCGTGAAGTGTGCAGCCTCCGTGATTACTTCCTGGCGAGATCGGATGATCCATTCTATGATGACGTCATTTCTAGTGATAAAGGGCTTACCCCTCTATCCTTGGCCAACGAGCAATGGCAGGACCCAGCAGTGCTTAGCATTTCCGACCGGGAGACCGTATGGAAGGAGAAGGAGCTCCACGGGAGGTACTACAGGGCTCTACATGAGCCCTTCGTAGATACAGTCGCCTCCCTCAACTGGCTACGTTTCGGTGACCTCTTCGGGGGAAACCGAGGGTTTTGTCTGTGCAATACAGGATCAGGTTATTAAGAGCAACAACTATCGGAGATACATCCTAAAGGATGGCACCGTCGACGTCTGTCGAGCTTGTCGCCATCCCGGGGAGTCACTTAGGCATGTCATCTCCGGTTGTTCGGCGCTTTCTAACTCTGAGTACTTGCACAGGCACAACCTAGTAGCCAGAATTCTACACCAGGAGCTCGCTCTGAAATACGGTCTCGTGGACCGGAAATTGCCGTATTACAAGTACTTGCCGGAAGCCGTGCTCGAAAATGACCGCGCCAGGCTCTACTGGGACCGGGCCATCATCACAGACAGAACTATTCTTGCAAATAAGCCTGATATTGTGCTGATGGACCGGGCACAGTCAAGGATATTTTTGGTCGACATTACCATTCCGTATGACGAGAACCTCGTGAAAGCCGAAACAGATAAGCGAACAAAATATCTGGACCTGGCTCACGAGGTGACCGACATGTGGGGTGGTTGGCCAACCGAAATTATTCCTGTAGTCGTCTCTGCGAATGGGCTAATCCCAGTCAGCCTCTCGGGTCATCTGAGGCGACTGGGACTCCGTGACGGACCGCTCCTGGCTCAAATGCAGAAGGCAGTGGTCCTCGATACCGCCCGCATCGTCCGTCGGTTTCTTTCCCTTTCCCCCTAACCCTCGGCCGTTTGGTCTCCCCTGCCGAGGGCTTCCATCTGGTTGGATCTTTATTTATTTGTGTATTTTTTGTATTTATTTTATTTTATTGATATTTATGTATTTTAATTTATAATTATATATTTATAGAACCCAACCAGATGAGAAAACTATATTGATACCCCCACATAATAATAATCATGCATAATCGCGAAGTGTGCAGCCTCCGTAATTACTTCCTGGTGAGATCGGATGATCCATTCTATAATGACGTCATTTCTAGTGATAAAGGACTTACCCCTCTATCCTTAGCCAACGAGCAATGGCAGGATCCGGCAGTACTAAGCATTTCCGACCGGGAGACCGTATGGAAGGAGAAGGAGCTCCACGGGAGGTACTACAGGGCTCTACATGAGCCCTTCGTAGATACAGTTGCCTCCCTCAACTGGCTACGTTTCGGTGACCTCTTCGGGGAAACCGAGGGTTTTGTCTGTGCAATACAGGATCAGGTTATTAAGACCAACAACTATCGGAGATACATCCTAAAGGATGGCACCGTCGACGTCTGTCGAGCTTGTCGCCATCCCGGTGAGTCACTTAGGCATGTCATCTCCGGTTGTTCGGCGCTTTCTAACTCTGAGTACTTGCACAGGCACAACGTAGTAGCCAGAATTCTACACCAGGAGCTCGCTCTGAAATACGGTTTCGTGGGCCGGAAAGTGCCGTATTACAAGTACTTGCCGGAAGCCGTGCTCGAAAATGACCGCGCCAGGCTCTATTGGGACCGGGCCATCATCATAGACAGGACTATTCTTGCGAATAAGCCTGATATTGTGCTGATGGACCGGGCACAGTCAAGGATATTTTTGGTCGACATTACCATTCCGTATGACGAGAACCTCGTGAAAGCCGAAACAGATAAACGAACAAAATATCTGGACCTGGCTCACGAGGTGACCGATATGTGGGGTGGTCTGCCGGCCGAAATTATTCCTGTAGTCGTCTCTGCGAATGGGCTAATCCCAGTCAGCCTCTCGGGTCATCTGAGGCGACTGGGACTCCGTGACGGACCGCTCCGGGCTCAAATGCAAAAGGCGGTGCTCCTCGATACCGCCCGCATCGTCCGCCGGTTTCTTTCTCTTTCCCCCTAACCCTCGCCCGTTTGGTCTGCCCTGCCGAGGGCTTCCATCTGGTTGGGCTTTTAATTATTTATGTATTTTTGTATTTATTTTATTTTATTGATATTTATGTATATTTATCTTTTCATTTTCATTTATAATTATATATTTATAGATCCCAACCAGATGAGAAAACTATATAGATACCCCAAAATAATAATAATAATAAGTAATATGGATGATGGAATCAAATGAAACGCGCAAAGGGCCGCTGCCTGGAGGTCGCCAGGGCGCGTCTGGAGCTGGCGCTGGACGCGACAGCATGCGAACCGCCAGCCGAGCGCGAGGTGCTGCACGACCACCTAGCAGCTCCTCGCATCCATCATCCCCACCAGCTGGCTTGGTGTCGGCAGGGTCTTCGCGGGCTCAGCAATCGGCACCCGCCACTGGTGGAGTACGCCGCATGCGTTGGACAACCCAGATGAACAGCAACGCATTGCGGGCGTATTTTAGGGCGAAAGGGGGAGAAACTGGAGGTTTTGCGTATCGGGCAAGGATGCATCGACTTTTTGCTGAGCTGGAGCCATCTGTAACCGTCACCGAACAAAACCTGGCAGACCGAGTTCGGTATATCTTGCGCTCAAATACATTTGATGTCACCGAACTCGAACGGCTACGACGTGAGGCTGTTCCTTCATCGGGTGAAAATGCTGCGGCTGAGGATGCGGCGCCACAACTTGCTGAGCAAACGGCAAATGTGGATGCCGCCGTGAATACGCCAGTTGTGGTTGATTCAAACGATGATGGAACAGTCGCCCAGGAACTGGAACTAGAGCAAATGAGGAGTACATTGGAAGAGGCGATTGTGGAAACGCGCAGTACGACTCTCGAAAATCGACCGCGACTTCCCCGCTTAGCCCTAAGCAAGCGGAATCGGGCTGTCGTGAGGGCTCTGAACCCAATGCTGGTTACCTATTTGGAAGCCAGCCGGGACCTTTGCGATACGGACTCAATTCTTTTTGGCGCCGCACTGGCAGTCTGCCGTATTATAGGTGCCAAACTTTCCACGGCTGGACGCGCTACTGGACAAAGTAGTGCTATCCCAGCCTGGAGAATAAGAATTGAAGAACGTATCGCAAAGGCTAGGGCCCTCATCGGCAGACTGATATGCTTCAGGTCAGGCAATACCAGGCCAAGGATTGTGCGCACCGTCAGGATGGCGTTTGCTGGGATAAATGTTAGTTTGTCCCAGCCGGATATAATGCAAAAACTGACGGAGCGCATAGACGACCTGAAGCAAAGAATAGCTGCTTGGGGAAAGCGGATTCGGCGATATACCGAGAGGTCGACACGGTTCAACCAGAATCGTCTCTTCCAGAGTGATCAGAAGAGGCTCTATAAATCATTGGAGCGACCAATAGTAAGTGGAACGGGCCCTGCACCAAATCAGGCCGACATGGTCGCATTCTGGCGCAGCCTGTGGTCAGAGCCCGTAAACCACAGCGAGGGCCCTTGGACGGAAGTTGTGGCGAGTCAGTGTGCGAGTATTACGCCCATGGACCCCGTCATCATAACGCCGGATGACGTAGCTGAGGCGGTCCGTAGGGCCCCGAACTGGAAAAGTCCGGGGCTTGACGGGCTGCATCACTACTGGCTGAAGGGGTTCATGGTGTGTCACTCTGTGCTCGCCCGACAGTTTCAAGAGGCTCTCAACCAGAAGTCGCTCCCAAGCCTCTTCACTACTGGGATCACTCATTTGGTTCCTAAAGATCAGGGTGCCACAGACCCGAGCAAATACCGCCCCATCACGTGTCTACCGACCATATACAAGACACTAACATCCATTTTGAGCGCAAGAATCGCTCGTCACCTGGACTTAAATCAGGTGATGTCGCGCGCTCAAAATGGATGTCGGGGCGGCGGTCGTGGAACCAAGGAACCACTCCTCATTGACGCGGTCATTGGCAAAGTGGTGAAACGCAACCGTCGGAACTTCTCTGCCGCCTGGATAGATTACAGAAAGGCATTTGACTCGGTGCCCCATACATGGCTAAAGAGGGTCCTCGAGCTGTACAAGATTGACTGTACAGTTCGAGACTTCCTCGAGCAGTGTATGGGGCAGTGGAGTACGATCCTCTGTCATCTAGGCGAGCGGATGACGGCTGCGGAAAGCCGCATAAGGATAAGAAGGGGTATATTCCAGGGCGACTGTCTGAGTCCAATTTGGTTCTGCCTCTCTTTGAACCCTCTCAGTACTTTACTGGAGGGCTCCGGGAGGGGATTTCAGCTTCGGAAAGGAGGTACAAAAGTGACCCACCTTTTCTATATGGATGACCTCAAATTATTCGCCTCCAGTCGCTCCCATCTTATGGAATTGCTAAACATCACGTGTGAATTTAGCAATTCTATTAGAATGGAGCTGGGGACGGATAAGTGTGCGGTCCTCCATGTTGAAAGGGGAAGGGTTGCTAACTCTGAGGGCATAGACTTATCTATGCCCGTCAACTTAAGAACCCTTTCCGAGGCTGAAACATACCGATACCTGGGTATGTCACAGAACATCGGTATCGATGAGGCTGGTATGAAACAGTCAGTTTGCGACGTGTTTTATGCACGCTTGACCAAAGTGCTTAACAGCCTTTTGTCCGGTGTGAATAAGGCACACGCATATAACGGCTGGGTCATGCCTGTCCTCATGTATACCTTTGGCATACTCAGGTGGACTCAGACTGAACTTAACGCCCTGGATAGAAAAGTCCGCACTACCATGACGTCCCATAGGATGCATCATCCGAGATCGTCGGTAATGAGGCTGTACTTGCCGCGGAAGCATGGTGGTCGTGGCTTCTTGAGCGCGCTCACCATGCATAATCGCGAAGTGTGCAGCCTCCGTGATTACTTCCTGTCGAGATCGGATGATCCATTCTATAAGGACGTCATTTCTTGTGATAAAGGACTTACCCCTCTATCCTTAGCCAACGAGCAATGGCAAGACCCGGCAGTGCAGAGCATTTCCGACCGGGAGACCGTATGGAAGGAGAAGGAGCTCCACGGGAGGTTCTACAAGGCTCTACATGAGCCTTTCGTAGACACAGTAGCCTCCCTCCACTGGCTACGCTTTGGTGATCTCTTCGGGGGAAACCGAGGGTTTTGTCTGTGCAATACAGGATCAGGTTATTAAGACCAACAACTATCGGAGATACATCCTAAAGGATGGCACCGTCGACGTCTGTCGAGCTTGTCGCCATCCCGGTGAGTCACTTAGGCATGTTATCTCCGGTTGTTCGGCGCTTTCTAACTCTGAGTACTTGCACAGACACAACCTAGTAGCCAGAATTCTACACCAGGAGCTCGCTCTGAAATACGGTCTCGTGGATCGGAAATTGCCGTATTACAAGTACTTGCCGGAAGCCGTGCTCGAAAATGATCGCGCCAGGCTCTATTGGGACCGGGCCATCATCACAGACAGGACTATTCTTGCGAATAAGCCTGATATTGTGCTGATGGACCGGGCACAGTCAAGGATATTTTTGGTCGACATTACCATTCCGTATGACGAGAACCTCGTGAAAGCCGAAACAGACAAGCGAACAAAATATCTGGACCTGGCTCACGAGGTAACCGACATGTGGGGTGGTCTGCCGACCGAAATTATTCCTGTAGTCGTCTCTGCGAACGGGCTAATCCCAGTCAGCCTCTCGGGTCATCTGAGGCGGCTGGGACTACGTGGCGGACCGCTCCAGGTTCAAATGCAGAAGGCGGTGCTCCTCGATACCGCCCGCATCGTCCGCCGGTTTCTTTCCCTTTCCCCCTAACCCTCGGCCGTTTGGTCTCCCCTGTCGAGGGCCTCCATCTGGTTGGGCTTTTACTTATTTATGTACTTTTATATTTATTTTATTTTATTGATATTTATGTATATTTATCTTTTCATTTTCATTTATAATTATATATCTATAGATCCCAACCAGATGAGAAAACTATATAGATACCCCAAAATAGTAATTATTATTATTATTATTATTATTATTATTATCATAATATATATAAGCAATTTTTGTGAAAAGATACGTATCAATGAAGTGTGTATAATTAAAAATAATGATAATATAGAATTTATCAAAAGTGTTTGTGATGAAATAACAACACTTAGTAATTGGTCCGGACCGCGAATATGCATATTACGAGGCGTAAAAAGAATAGATGACGACAACGAAAAGACACTTATTATGAATGACTTTCACTTACTGCCATCCAGCGGTCATGCTGGAGTGCGCAGAATGATAAATACAATCAAAAGTCGATATTATTGGCCAAGTATCGACAAGGATGTCCAGGAATTTGTTAAAAAGTGTACAAAATGTCAGAAACATAAATATTTTCGTAACGTAAAAGAACCGATGGAAATTACCACAACAGCTTCCTCGGCTTTTGAAAAGATATACTTAGATGTAGTAGGACCCTTAGATAGAGACGAAAATGGTAATTGTTATATATTGACTATGCAATGCGAGTTAACAAAATTTGTACAAGCTATTCCTTTGCAAAACAAAGAAACAGTGTCCATTGCAGATGCATTTGTTAGACAGTTCATATTAAGATTTGGTATTCCGACGACAATAGCTACAGATCGAGGAACAGAATTTATTTCTTCAACCATGGAACAGGTTTGTAAAATACTTAATATAGAAAAATTATCTTCTACAGCCTATCACCATCAGTCGATTGGAGCTCTTGAAAATGCTCACAAAACTTTGGGTGCATTTTTAAGGATCCAATGTGACAATCATACGGATACATGGAGCTATTGGTTACCATTTTGGTGCTTCAGTTTTAACAACACAGTCCATTCAGAAACAAATTACACGCCATATGAACTTGTTTTTGGAAAACTTTGTCAAATACCCGATAGCATAAGTAATACCGTAGAACCATTGTATAATATAGATAATTATCTTACAATTATATTACAATTAAAATACAGGTTACAATTAGCTCATGAAGATGCAAAGAAAAATTTGTTGATTAATAAGCATAAACGGAAAGAAATATATGATAAGTCTGTCAATTCTGCAAAATATGAGAAAAATGATTTGGTTTTAGTAAAAAATGAAGCACGTAGTAAATTAGATGCAATATTTAAAGGTCCCTATACAGTTATGGAAGATTTAGGTTGTAACGTAAAAATAATTAAAAATAATAAAATTGAATTAGTACATAAGAATAGAACTAGGCCTTTTTGTCAATAGATTTGAATGTAAGATTTAATTTTAGATAACATTGCAATGTATAACGATAAGGATAAACGTATGTACCATTTTATTTGTAATAAGTAACTTATGACTATTAAACACTATTATTTTAAAAGATGATACTTTTTTTTTTTATTTATTAAAGCATCACCAACATTTGTATACATTGTTAAATTATAATTTACATACATACATAGATAGGGTATTACTTTAAATGCTCCAAACTATTATATACTATTATATACTTCAAGTAAATATCTAGTAAAAATTATGTAAAAAAAAAAGAATGTACCTAATTCTCTTTTTTTTCTATGTCCTCGGGAGGTGAAGTGTAAGAATAATATGTATGCTCCTTTATTTTTAGTTTAGTAAGTAAGTACGCTACTTTATAACCGTATGTATGCTGAGTTTGCACTACACCTTATATGCATTATTTTAGATTATTACCAGCGCATTCATTACATAGTACGTAACTAATGTAGTCGTTTCCTTGAATAACACCCATAAGGAACCCCAAAATTACACATGTGTAGAATTCCATCTTGTTGGACAGTCGAGTATGGAGTTCAGATTTGATGGCACGCCATCTGCTTTACAAGTAGACTGAAACTTCCTCTTCAATATCTCACTTCTTTTTATTTTACTGGAAATACTGCATAATTTTGTTATAGCTGTATGTGAGTCAGCAATATTTGGCGCATATTCTCCATCTTCCTCAGATTCGTCTTAATTATCTTCATACTGCTGTTCTTGTGCCATTGTCAGTTCCACTGTGTAATGCTAAGGTCTTTAATAAATCTTGTACACCAAGGTTCAAAATGTGAGCAAAGCACCGGAAATGTTGATTGTCTGAATCAAAGTGTGGCAGCTGTTTGTCCAATTCATACATAAGTTTGGTATTTGCAGTTGCGTTGTCGACCGTGATACCCTGTATTTTATCAATTAAGTTAAGTTAAGTTAAGTTACAGCCTATATACGTCCCACTGCTGGGCTCAGGCCTCCCCTCATTTCTGAGAGGGTTTAGGGCAAGGAAGTGTCCGCCGCGCTGCCCAAATGCGTGTTGACGAACTTCATATGTCTTCGAAATATTTTTTTCTTATTCCTCAGACATGCAGGTTTCCTCAAGATGTTTTCCTTCACCGCCGAGCACGTGGTAAATCAGCACTTAAAATTGCAATTAACAATTTCATTGGTGCCGGCGGGGATCGAACCTGGGTTACTCGCGTTCTGTTATATTTACAGCGAGCGTTAACCACTGAGCTACCACGGCTCTTCAATTTTATCTATTCAATTTTAATTCTAATTTTATCAAGTCATAATATTCCAATGAACATTCGTGGAAAATAGTTGCAATATCTTCCCCAGTATGTCGACCGCGTGATGGTATAAAATCAAGGACTACAGATCGATACTTCCATTCGTTGTCTATATTATGAATAGTAACTCCTACCAGCAATTGACGTCCATTCATCAACGGTAAATGACATTTTAGATAAAAATTGTTGTAGTCGTTTCTAAAGATTCAATTGAAGCTCTTCAAACCGTTCTTTGACCTTCCTTCTAAGTAGAAAAATGAGAAGGGAAGATATTTTTTAACCATCCAATCAACTGTAGCTGTCGTGATGTTGTCACTGCTATTTTCAGACTCAAAACAAATGAAAATATGAGTATATATATATATATATATATATATATATATATATATAACTACCACTCACTGACTGACTATAACGATATTTCAGGAACTATAAAACATACAAACTTGAAGTTTGTAAGGTAGGTTTTTTTGGCCTTTTATGGCATAGAGATCAGTTAAGAAACAGTTTTGAGAAAATCTTTCCCTAAGGGAGTGAAATGGGAGTTGGAAGTTTGTATGAAAGTCCTACGTTTTTGTAGTTAGAGACACGAAAATCGGCATTAAAGTTTAAGTTTTCAATAATAAAATCCTGAATAAGCTGTTTTACGAAATCCTAACCCTAAGGGGGTGAAATTGGGGTAAAATGGTTACATGCAAGGCCTATATTTTTAAAGTATAGATATGAAGATCGACATTTACTTTATTAGTTTTAAATAATAAATACTTGCATAGTTAAGCTTTACCTATATAGTCTCTTTATACTTAGGTAAGATTTTTGCAGAAATTTCAAAATATCATATGAAATCAGATATTGTACGCGGACGAAGTCGCAGGCGGCCGCTAGTTACATAATATATGTGTTATGTAATTGTGTGATAAGTATATTTTTTCTTACCTGTCCACTTTTTCCGGCGGTTGTTAAAAAGCTTGTGATATCTCCACTTAATTTTGGTTTTTCAAGAAGAAATATTTGTGATTCCTTTTTGTGGAAAGATATTAGATGCTTCCTTAAGCCTGAAGTGTTTCTTTTATGTTGGCATAATTTACACAAAGCAATTTGGGATGCATGAATTATGTCGAAAAACGCATCAAATTTACTTTTAGGTCTTTTAGATCTATAACTCCAACTCTCACTACTCCGACTAGAACTATTCGACTCTTCGTCACTCATGTCAATTTGTAAACTTATCACTCCGAGAACAACAAGGATTAGAGTAAAAACAATTAATACATTAGACTCGAAGCAAAGCTCAATTGGGAATGACTGGAATTAAAATAAATACTACTATTTGTAAGTACACGCTGAAAGACCGACAAAGGAAAGTTCGGCATTCTTTGGTAAAATTAATGATTCTTCAGAAGATTAATAAAGTAGATGCGTTGCCAGATAGGTATAGTATGCCTAGGTAAAAATTAAATGTAAATATGTAAATAAAATTGTGTATATTATGTTCTTCTTGTGATTTAATTAATCTAATTTAATTAAATTAAATGTACTCTGTGGCGGCATTCAAACAGTCTCAAAAGTAGTGCGTGCGGCGCGGCGGCGACGATTGAATGCGATATCAATAGAAACCGCCGGCGCGTGTATCTTGACCTTGTACTTCCGAATAGCTGCAAAATTTCTTTGACGGGTCAGTATTCAACCTTTGATGATGCCGACAACAAGACGCCGCGCACTATCAAAGTGCCGATGGTCAAAACTAGGGATGCATTGTTTTTTCTTTATGTTTATGGTATTGTTCGTAATGCGCATAAGTCCAATTTTACAAATTTTCTTTATATATTTTTTGCGTCTCATAGAGTCCCTAAGCGTATACCCGAACTCCTATACTCCCTGAAACGACACTCATTCCTAACTGCAAGACGCAAGAGTCTCGCAGGCTTAGTCTTGTTCTTGCTCAAATCTTGCACGGTCAGTCTTGGTCTTGGTCTTGCTAAAATTAGGCAGTTTTGTTCTTGGTCTTGGTCTTGCAAAATGCAAGAACAAGACCATGACTGCAAGACCAAGACCGATTTTGGGCAACACTACGGTGGACACATTCTTGCCCTAAAACCCTCTCAGAATTAAGAGGGTTCCTGTGCCCAGCAGTATGTGTGGGACGTATGTAGGACGTAACTTTAATTTAACTTAATAATTATTTACAAAATTTTAATAACTTCTTTAATTAAATGTCAAAATTTTATTTAAAGCGCGTTCAACGCTCAGTCAAGTTTGTAAACACAATAGCGGCACAGTTCAGTTCTTTTTTTTGTTTTTTAATAAAATTAGAGTGACAAAATTAGCTTACACTCAAATAACATAGATAATTTGTTTAGATATCTGTGATAATAGACAATACTCGTAGTTAATCTACATAATATATTATACAATTTCAAAATCACGCGCGGAATTCAATATCAAGTATTTTTTTTAGAAAGAGTGTGACAAACGAGCACATTAGTCCACATGATAGTAAGTTGATCACGTTGCCCATATACATCCCTCTATCTTTATCTTTTCTTTCTGATGGTAAGTGGAATCTGAGGCTCATAGACATCTACATTTATACTCGATTAAGTATCAAATGTAGATGCGTTGTCACCCCCGAGGACTAATATGGAATACCTTGTTTCCAATTAAAACGAACGAAACACAACAGCATTAAGCTGCTATTTTACACTGATATTCTGTGAGAGCGTGGTTCTGCCTCGGGTGAGCCGACCCATTTGTGCTACAACCATAATATAGCTGCAGCGTAGTTGTACCACGTATAAATGTAGTGTAGTGTAGTGTATTGTATGTAGTGCATTCGGTTTCCCATAGACTACAACTATCCTTGATTAAAAATTAAAATGCAGATGTATTGTCATCCCCCACCAGTAATATATTAAATATTATATTATTTATATGAAGAGATTGAAGAAGCCGTCTATAATATTCAAATGTTACAGATTTCTGACTTCTATCGGGCTCAGGTAGCTATTTGCCTGCTGTTACGACACAAACATAATTTTTCAAAGTTTTGTCTGTCCGTCTGTCCGGGCTAGAGTCCGGAGCGCGCAGCCCGGGCACCGGGCAGGCTTGCAGCGGGCTGCACCGACTGAGATGACAGACCACGCACAGACAGAGAGCAAAGTTTTGTCTGTCCGTCTGTCCGGGCTAGAGTTACTACGTCGTCGGTACTCGGACTGAGCGGACGTGTCGAAGCGCTCTCGCGTGACTACGTGCATACATTTTTAATTGTTTTTGGTGTTTTATAGTAATATCTTATTATAATAGTTGACTTTGTTACTATTTAAACTTTATTTTGTAGTATTAAATAAACAGTGCAGTGCTTGTTATCTTTTTAAACACTTTTAAATATTTTTATTACCTGTAAACACGTGTTAGGTTAGGTTAGACCACGCGGTTACCGCGTGGTAGCTTTAGGTTAAGTATTCTTATTTTATTGTTGAGTGTGTTATTCTTTGTTCTTTTGGATTTTAAACTGTAAGTACTTTTATTTATATTTAGTGTTAGATATGAATAGTGTGAATGATAAGAACTGAACTAGGATTGAGGTTAGGTTGTGCCGGTGTTTTTTGACACTGACAGCTGTCATTGTATTAGACGCTAACAGTGACTTATAACTTTCTTTAGTGAACTTCACTTAAATTAAAATGGCGGACGATGACCAGGGCTTTACGCCCAGGAAGTCGTTGGCCAGGACCCCGCCGGGACCAAACGGACGGCCGGTTGCGGTGCCCCCCCCCCCCACCGCCAGTAGTGCCGGAGAAGCGGCCACTGGCTTCGCCAGAAGAAATGCAGGCATCTTCCCAGTGACCAAGGATAGGCAAGCGCACCGAGTCTCGCCGGAGTGTGGCACCGGTGGCAGGTCTTCTGACAAGGAATGTCGAGGAATCTGCTCCTGAAACGGAAGAAGAGGACTACTCCAGAGAGGTAACTCGGGGTGCTAGGGGGGAGTTTTAAAGCTACCACCGCTTCGAAGCTGGAGGTCATTGACTAGGTGCGGGAGTCAGTTAGGGGGATAATGGCCATCCTTAGTACAAGTAGTAGTGAACAAAGTTTTAGCATACGGCCACGACCTCATCGCCATGGTGGCGACCATGGAGGTCCACATTTCTGAGCTGGAGCTGGCCAGAGTACGAGCGGAGAAGGAGAAGCTTGTCGCAGAAGGGAAACTGGCGCAGGTCGAGGCCGGTACAGTTCCTTGCCACACGACGGACCCGGCACTGCAACGCTCGTACTCGGGTGCATTGAGGCTACCCAAGGGTGCAGACCAGGTGCTGATGCCTGTCAGCAAGGGTCCGGTAGTTGCCTTTTATCCGGCTGAAGCTGAGGGACCAATTAAGACTGCGGAGGATACGAAGTTGGAGCTGAAGAAGGCAGTGAACCCGAAGACGGTCTGCAAATAGACCGATGGAGAAAGGTGGGGAATGCTGGTGTTGTGGTCCAGACCACGTCCCAGGAGGCAGCGGAGAAATTAAAAACTGCAGCCCCTCCATCACCGAGGATGTCTGAGCCCAGGCATTGCCCTCCACTGGTTGCCCTCAGGGGTTTTGAGGAGGACCCCAAGAACGAAGAAGTGTTAAGCGGCCTCTACGAGCAGAATCTTGCTGCCTGTGGCTAGAGTGAGGATAAGATGAAGGAAGAATGCAAGGTGGCCTTTAAGAAATCGTAGAGAGGAAGCAGGCGCACCACGGTCATTCTCCAGTGCTCGGCTGCATTAAGAGACGTGCTGGTAAGACATAATCGCCTCTACATTGGCTGGGACGTGGTGGAGCCCTGCGACTACGTAGATGTCACGTGCTGCCAGAGGTGCCAGCAATACGGGCATCCAGCAAAGTACTGCAGGTCCAAGGAAACTGTGTGTGGCAAGTGTGGGGAGACGGGACACGAGCGTGGGGCCTGCAAAGCAAAAGAAGAAAAGTGCGCTACCTGCAAGCGATTTGGCCGGCCCGACTCTGGTACGCACGTGACCATGGCAAGGAACTGCCCAGCAAGATTGTATGCAGAGCAACGCCCCGTGGCAGATCAGAGGAGATAGCCAGAATGGCATTTCATAGCGTGCGTGCGAGATATAGGAAGATAATGGTGGAGGTGCAGCAGTCGCATCACACGTGGGTCGCTAATACTGGCAATGAGGACCCTTGGGGCTTGGCATACAGATTGGCCAGCGGGAGGGTGCGTCCGCCTGCGAATGTGATCAATGGGATTGCATTCGCGGGTGGGCCCAGATAGTCTGGAAGCTGCAATGAACAGCTTGATGTCTGCGCTCTGTCCGGATGACGACCCTGGTTGTGACAAGCCTTACCACCGGCAGGTTCGTATGCTGGCGGCATTTATGCCCTCTGGTAGAGCTGCACCTCCACTTACGGCTGAGGACCTGGGAGGCATAGTCAGGGCCTTGCCCAACACGGCTCCGGGTCTCGATGGAGTGAGTGCAAGAATCGTGAGGAATGCTTGGATGGCTGCACCGAGAGAATTCCGCTCGGTGAATGCCAAGTGTGTAATAGAGGGGGTTTTCCTCAAGGTATGGAAAGACGGTAGATTGATTGTCATTCCTAAGGGTAATGACAAGCTACTCACTGACGCCAAGGCGTATCGTCCTATAACGCTCCTGCCTGTTTTGGGAAAGTTACTTGAACGTGTACTTCTAAGGTGCACTCCTGTGATTAGTCACGGTACATCCGAGCACCAGCATGGATTTTCTCCGGCACGGTCTACGGTAACAGCGCTCCGAGTATTGCTCAGAACGGCAAAGTATTCTCGGGCATGCTACGTGCAAGCCATCTTTCTGGATATTTCCGGTGCCTTCGACAATGCCTGGTGGCCGATGATGATGGTCAAAGCTAAGAGGGGTGGATATCCACCTAACGTTTATAAAATGTTGGTGGACTACTTCACCTCCAGGTGTGTAGGCCTCTACATCGGGGACCGGGTAGAGTGGAAGACCTCGACCATGGGATGTCCTCAAGGCTCCGTGCTGGGCCCAACATTGTGGAACGTGCTGATGGATGATTCGATCCGACTCCCTCTGCCTAAGGGAGTTGCCATGACAGCCTATGCCAATGATATCACAATCTTGGTTGAATCTGAAACGAGAGCGGGTATTGAATCCAGGGCCAGGGTCACTCTGGACCTTGTACGAGAGTGGGAGCTGAGGAATCGACTGAAGTTTTCCTCCTCAAAGTCAACCACCATGACTATTAGAGGAAAACTTCAGCCCCCCCCCCCCGTTATTAAACTTGGTGGGGAATGAATCAAGACTGTGACTACCGCTAAGGTACTAGGCGTGGTTTTGGACTCGGGACTATCATTTGTGCAACACGCTTCTGATATCTCTGAAAGAGCCACTAAGGGATTCGGCAAAATGACTCGCGTATCGACATCATCATGGGGCATGAGATACCCGAGTTTAAAAATTATCTATAGAGGAGTGTTTGTGTCCACGCTCACGTATGCAGCAGAGTGCTGGTACGAGCGGGCGAACATGTACACAGTCCGTAGCGTACTACTGAGATCGCAACGATCTGCCCTTATCTTGTTGACCAAGGCGTACCGGTCCACTAGCACGGCGGCCTTACCGGTGCTGGCTGGCGTTCTCCCTGCTGACCTGGAGGTCATTCGTGCTGATAGGATGGGTATGGAACGCTTGACCGCGCCCAGAGAAGAGTTGAGCGGACGAAAGCGCGAAATCTGGACTGAGGTGATTGGCGTAAAGCAGAATCGATGGATGAACGAAACGAAGGGACGCGAGTTAAATCGATTTTTCCCAGAGGTGGCGTTGAGACTCAAGTATACCTGGGTTTCACCGGAGCACGCAGCCCAGGCACCGGGCAGGCTTGCAGCGGGCTGCACCGATTGAGATGACATACCACGCACAGACAGAGAGCAAAGTTTTGTCTGTCCGTCTGTCCGGGCTAGAGTCCGGAGCACGCAGCCCGGGCACCGGGCATGCTTGCAGCGGGCTGCACCGACTGAGATGACAGACCACGCACAGACAGAGAGCAAAGTTTTGTCTGTCCGTCTGTCCGGGCTAGAGTCCGGAGCGCGCAGCCCGGGCACCAGGCGGGCTTGCAGCGGGCTGCACCGACTGAGATGACAGACCACGCATAGAGAGCAAAGTTTTGTCTGTCCGTCTGTCCGGGCTAGAGTCCGGAGCGCGCAGCCCGGGCACCGGGCAAGCTTGCAGCGGGCTGCACCGACTGAGATGACAGACCACGCACAGAGAGCAAAGTTTTGTCTGTCCGTCTGTCCGGGCTAGAGTCCGGAGCGCGCAGCCCGGGCACCGGGCGAGCTTGCAGCGGGCTGCACCGACTGAGATGACAGACCACGCACAGAGAGCAAAGTTTTGTCTGTCCGTCTGTCCGGGCTAGAGTCCGGAGCGCGCAGCCCGGGCACCAGGCGGGCTTGCAGCGGGCTGCACCGACTGAGATGACAGACCACGCATAGAGAGCAAAGTTTTGTCTGTCCGTCTGTCCGGGCAAGAGTCCGGAGCGCGCAGCCCGGGCACCAGGCGGGCTTGCAGCGGGATGCACCGACTGAGATGACATACCACGCATAGAGAGCAAAGTTTTGTCTGTCCGTCTGTCTGGGCTAGAGTCAGGAGCGCGCAGCCCGGGCACCGGGCGGGCTTGCAGCGGGCTGCACTGATTGAGATGACAGACCACGCACAGACAGAGAGCAACGCCGACACCGATCCGCGCTGCATCTGATAATAAACGATCTTTGATTAGTTTTAATCTAAATAACGCCACATTGTTACATCCAATCCAGGCGAGACGGGGGTGGATCGCTAATATTATATATATATATATATATATATATATATATATATATATATATATATATATATATATATATATATAGCATATATATTTGTGTGTTTAGTTTGAATAAAAAGAAATATAATTAAAAAATATTGAGCTTTAAAAAAACGAGGGCTTATAATCTTTGGTTCAACATAAATAGTGGTGACAAAAAAAGTCGTGGATGCCTTAATTGTTCAAGTGTCAGTTACTCGTAGATGTGTTCTTATTCACTTGGTTTTTACAAATGGAAGGTGAATGGTGGTAAGTAGATGAAATTGGTTGAACAGTCTCATACGGACACCGGCACTTGCCTTTCATCTCCATCCGACCCTGATATTAGCAGTTCATTTAATATCAATCTGCATTTTAGTAATTCATAACGTAGTACGACGAGCTGCGAACTAAATTTTAAAATTATATCTATACAAGTAAATAAAATTAAATTGTCTGTTTCTAATGTCGAAATAACAGCTTTTAAAAAAATGCATATGAAATTTTATACGGTGACAAAAAAAAAAACATTATTTTTAATTTTTATCTGTCTGTCTATTTGTTTCGATAAACTCCAAAATGGCTGGACCTATTTTGAAGGAACTTTCGCTGGCAGATAGTTGATGTTGTAAGGAGTAACTTAGTTTAGAAATTAAAATACATGACATCCAACCCAACACAATTTCACGTGGATAAAGTCGCGGCAAATGCAAGTAATACTCGTATATAAATATATAAATTTTCTTTTTCTATTAAAATATTAGTAAAATTACAAAAAGGTGACAACGTATCTACATTTTGATTCTTAGTCGAGAAAACATGTATAAATGTCTATGAATCACAGCATCCACTTACTATCAGGTCGACTCACAGAAATCTAAATAATAAGGCAATTGCCTTATTATTTAGATTTATGTGGGTTGACTGTGTGCTCGTTCTTGAACCTCATTCTATAAAAAAAATTACGCTTTAGAGCTATGCTGCAGCTACGTTAAGGTTGTAGCACGAATGAGTCGGTTCGACCGGGGAGGGACCACGCCCTCACAGAATATCAGCGTAAAATAGCAGTTCAATGCTGCCGTGTTTCGTATGGTGAGTGAACCGGAGCCCCTTTTTACTTAAAACGAGGCTTTCCATCTAAGTGTCTGCATTGAACTACACCACAAAGAAATAATTTCCGCTCATGTTTACACGTGTTACTTCCTCATACAGTCTTGCGACTGACAACGTCGTGTGGAACACAGATCAACTGTTATGATTCAAAGTTAAATCTTTTGAAAGCTGGAAATTCGAGCTCACTGAAAACCAGCGGCTACACACACCTACTTTTTTAAATGTTGTTAGTGTCAAATTTTTATACTTTTATTAATTGATGTGTGTACAAATATTACAAATTAAGTGCCTAATTGAATGTGCAGCTTGTTGCAATAAATGGTCTTTCTTTCTTATTTATTTAAATAACTATCTATTAAAAAGGTCAATTCAAATTAATTAAATTCGAGTTGACATATACTTATTGACATAACCTTAAATATTCCCTGCACCGAATTTTTCGCATACCGGAAATGGGTATACGTATAAGAGCAAAAATGTCATTTTTTATGAATTTAAAAAAGGGCATTTTCTATTTCTTTCTTTTTGTTACGCTAGGGACCGTAAGCTGCACTATGCCGCCCACGTTTATGTTTGGGATAAGTCAACACATTTTCGATTGACTTTAAAAACAACACAATATAAACATTCCTTAAAGCCATGTATTTCGACCTCAATGAGTCGTTGCAGGTGATCAGGTGACTCTCACTACCGTGGGAGAAAGCGCCGACCAGTGGAATGTACCCGCGTTGGAACTTTTGCTTATCCGGTAAGAGCGTCATACGCGCCTTTCTTTTAAGTTAAATTTATAATCAACTGCATAAAGTCGGAACATAGTGTGTATAAGCTTAGCATTTAAAATGTACACATTTAAAATAAAAAATGTCAAAAGGTACTTCTTCTGTAATAAGTACTACTTTGTTTATCACATATGACTGGTTGTCTATAGCAAAAATCCACGTCTTCTTATAAAATCTGTAAGTATGAAGAAATTGTAAACTTTGAAACAATGTACGACTACAGGTAAGGGTAATAATATACGGACACAGACTACCTGATAGTAAGAGGAGAATGTGTAGAGTTGGCAAAAACCTACTATATTTATGTTTTAGGACAAGGAAATGGCCGTGCTGCCAAAAGTGTTGGCGAACTTCACATGTCTTCGAAATTTTTTTCTTATTTCTCAGACATGCAGGTTTCTTCACGATGTTCTCCTTCACCGTCGACGACGTAGTGAATCCGCACTATAGTTGCAATTAACAATTTCATCGAATCCCCGCCAGCACCACTGACATTTTGCCCGGCAGCTCGTGTACTGTGAGATTTACAGCGAACGCTAGCGCCAGGGCTACCACGGCTCCAATACAACACGCATAAACACGATTCAACAAATATAATAAAAGCACTTACGAACTTAAAATATAAAAACTTGATCGCTCGTGATTCCTACTGTACGAAACTACAGCAGCACACCGTGCACGCGATGTGACTCCTCTTGCAGCGAGCGTCACCACATGAGCTACCGCGGCTCTTCCTTGTCCTAAGACCCTCTCAGAAATGCGAGGAGGCCTGTGGCCAGTAGCGGGACGTACATAGGTGCAAATATAAAGTTAAGGTTACATATACATGTAACACCCCTGAGGGTTTAGATCGAATACCTCGTATCCAATAAAAAGGATCTCCGGTTCCTCTACACTAACTATACGAAAAACAGCACCATAAAGCTGCTTTTTACACAGGTATTCTTTAAGATCGTGGTCTATTGGTTGGGCCGACCCATTCGTGGTACAACCATTTATATAACTATTATATAGCTGCAGTGTCACTCTACCACGTATAAATGGGCATCTTCCTGAAAATATGAGATCAATAAAAACCATGCGGTTGCCAAACTATCAACTACTGTAAATTTCAACGGTTCCTAGAAATAGTTGTGTTGGATCCACGTGTAACTTTGCTGCCTCGACGTTCTAGTGTTCGTAAGCACGACTACTGATCATGAAGTCTGGTTTCGAATCCCGAGTTAATCCAAAATCAGTATTGTTTTTTTCTGCCAAGATATCGTCAGTAGCATCCCGCAGTCAAGAAGTTGGCGGTTTTGTAATGCGATAGCCGTTTCATTGGACTAAGAGAGCGCCTGTGCTTGCGTACACACTTGTCTGTTATAATCCTGTCCCACATATATGGCTGGACTCAGTTAAAATTGGCCGCCATCACCGAAATTCGGAGTGTAAGAGGAACATTAGTGTGGGAAACTTTTCTGAAGAAATATGGTAGGGAATTGAACGCCCATCCCGCAGCGCCGAATCCAATCGCTTAGCCCGTGCTTGTCTTCAGAGTATGTATACTGTTATTTATGTATGAAAAACTACATACCACCGTACAGGCATACGACAATTCAGCAATAAAGGTCACGTAATGATATTACAGAAAGAATATAAGAGAGCCTATAATTATCTCATCCAATCAATGAATTATCAATGTGTAATGGGTACCTTTCACATTCCGATCTCTCAAAATTAAATTGAAAGTATTAAATATCACTTTAAAATCTTTCTTATTTAGTTGCACAATAAATTTAAGTTACGGCTATTTTATGTTAATATTTTAATAAGAAAACGCGTTTTGTCTATTTAAAATGAAATTAACAACGTAATGAGCGTTGTTACCCTCCTAGAAACCTAGATCTGGCTCTACTTTATGCGACTGATGACTCTACATTATTAATATATAAATATATTTAATTATTTATCGGGTACAAAAACAGAATAACGTCAAAACATGGATAACATGAACATAACATGAACATAATAACATGAACATAATAACATGAACATAATAACATGAACATAATAACGTGAACATAATAATAACATGAACATAATAACATGAACATAATAATAACATGAACATAATAACATGAACATAATAATAACATGAACATAATAACATGAACATAATAACATGAACATAATAACATGAACATAATAACATGAACATAATAATAACATGAACATAATAACATGAACATAATAATAACATGAACATAATAACATGAACATAATAATAACATGAACATAATAACATGAACATAATAATAACATGAACATAATAATATGAACATAATAACATGAACATAATAACATGAACATAATAACATGAACATAATAACATGAACATAATAACATGAATATAATAATAACATGAACAAAATAACATGAACATAATAATAACATGAACATAATAACATGAACATAATAAGAGCAAAATTACTTTCTGGATGATGTTCCGAAACACGTACACACATTAATTATATTACCGAAATTAATTTTAAAAATGCCACCTTATCAAGAACAAGTTACTAAATGCAACAATAACTATGGTTGTAAAATAAAAAAGTCAAAGTTACAGTCACTGAACTCTAAGTATTACGAGTACGTTGGTTACAGCCTACAATAATGTCCTTCAGACAGAGTTTCAGTGACGGCGCCTAGTCCTGACGAAAACCAGTCACCAGCGCAGGACAGAATCATAGTGTGTGAGTGTCTGCCCAAGCACAGTATAGTGTGTGAGTGTCTGCCCAAGCACAGGATAGTGTGTGAGTATTTGCCCAAGAACAGTATAGTGTGTGAGTGTCTGCCCAAGCACAGGATAGTGTG